AATTGCAAAATGTCTGAAAGAAAAGCTTCTCAGGTTTATAATATAAAACGTTCCACATTAAAAAGAAAGATTAAGGAAATAAAAGAAAAGCCTGGTTTGTCAAGTTCAGATGTCACAAAACCTTACCAAAATGTCTCTACGAAAATCTTTACAGATTCTGAAGAGAAATGTCTTGTGGATTATTGTGTAGCATCATCCAAAATGGGATTTGGCCTTAGCCGTATTAAACTGAGACAACTTGCTTATGAATATGCTATAAAACTTGGAAAAACACAATTATATGCTGAGAAGGACATATGCGTCATGTGTGGTGAGGCTGGCCGAGACAACGAAATGTGGTTTCGTTGCAGAAATTGTGCCAAGTGGGCTCACGAGCTCTGCACGAGTGTTTCTAGTGCAGTTGATTACATTTGCGAATTTTGCATACATGAATAATCTTATTATTTCAATTTTTGTTTCAATTAAAAATACTTCAAATGTGTTTATTTCCATGAATTTGTTGCTATTCTTTAATGGTCCATTTGGTACTTTACCCGGTCCATCCAGTACACCGCTATTGTACCGAATGGACCACCAAAAAAATTGGAACAACCCACCTTAAAAATTAAATTATAAAAAAATTACGTTATTTGGAAATATTAAAAAAATACCGTCAACTGTGCAAGATAATGACAAATCAAGATCAGTTATTAAAATAGCGATAGCTGATTTTGTTGAGCAAAGAAAAAATATTTAGTGAGCGACAAAAAAAAGCGGTCCATTCGGCCCCCGTCTCCCCTAGGCTATTCAGGAATGATCCATCCATCGTTAGAGTTTTCGAGCTGATGTAGCAGTTGTGTTAAAAATTAATTTCATTTCTCTTACTTGCTGTAATTGGAAAACTGATTGAACCATGATGATGGTAATCAATGTGTAATACTTGAAAATTTTTTATTTATTAGTTTCTTAATTCATCAACGCACATAATTCTACGGTCAGTTGTTGCTGTTGTCGTCACTCTGCTGTGATTACCCATCAATACTTCGCCAAGGTCATCAATCATTTGTGCTTTTGTTTTGCGTTGTCGTTGTTATAGATAACATTTTTGTTGTTGGCTTGTTCGCTAGTGTTTCAAAGGAATCCTGTCGTACTTTTAAATGACGCTAATGACGATGACGATCTCGATGACAGTGATTATGATGATGTTTGTGATGGTGATGGGATGAGGAGGAAGAGGAAGTACAAGGGGGTAAGCACGATGGTCGTTTATACAATACAAACATCAATTGTTTACCTGCTGTTGCGTCATTCATCGGCAAAGTTAAAAATCAAATTGGTTTTTTTCCTGTATGCTCCTTAAACAAATAATGTAAAAAAAATACAACTTGATGATTATGATGATAGTGATAATGATGGTGATGGCGACGGCGATGAGGATGAGGTGATTATGGTAATGATGCCGCTAATGGTGATGGCATTGATGGTGTAATT